CACCAAGGTTGGCATTTGAATCAGTAGACTGAGTAAAGAAGATCACCCCCTCATCACTACAGGTGGACATCCAATCTGTTGAAGGACTGAATAGAGTAAAAGGCAGAGGAAGGGTGAATTTGCTCTTTGCTTGAGCTGGGGCATCCATCTTGTCCTGCCTTTAGACATCGGCATTCCTGTCTCTCAGGCCTTTGGACTCAGACTGAATTACACCACCAGCTTTCCTGGTTTTCCAGTTTGCAGATAGCAGATTGCAAGACTTTTTAGCCTCTGTAAATGAATGAGTCTATTGTTATAATAAACAAACAAACAAAGAAACAAACTTCTATTGGTTCTGCTCGTCCCATTTGAAACAACTAAAAAAACAGTCTTTGTAAAAATGGCTTTCAGGAACACTGCACATCAGCAGAGAGTGAGTCATCTCTGAGAAATGGGAAAACAAATGAGGTTTGCTCTGTGATTGTGCTAGCTTACTGACTTGAGGATGTTTCCAGGCTGCAGGGCAGTGTGACTCCAGACAGAGCCCATCCTGGCAGTCTCCCTGAGTTGAAAAGGAGCCTAGAGACCAGAGAAACAAAGGCTGCTGGAATTTGCAGGACAACAAAGAAGAGTGCTGCTATTAAGTTTTTAATATCCACCTTCCTAAGTGGTATCCTAAGCACATCTTTTCGTGTGCTCATTAGCTACTGATAAAACTTCTTAGGTGAAATGTCTATTCCTGTATTTTGAGTATATTTAACTTAGGTTCCTTATTTTCTTATTATTGAACTGTAAGTGTTCTTTATACATTCTGAATAAAAGTCCTTTATCAAATAGATAGTTTACAAATATTTCCCCTAATCTATGATTTGCATTAATTGACATTTATGGAACATTCCACCTGCAGTATACATATGGTTTTCAAGTGCACACAGAATGCTTAACAGGATAGACTATATTCTGGGCCATAAAGCAGGACAAACCTTAATAGATGTAGAATTATTCAAGTTAAATAAAACACGCTGTTAGACCAAAATGGAAATAAATTAGAAATCAACAATGGAAAGATATCTAGGAAATTCCCAAATATTTGTAAACTAAATAATGCATTTATAAATAATCTGTGGATCAAATAATAAATCAGAAAAAAATTAGAAACTATTTGTAAATGAACACAAACATAAAAATTTGTAAAATGCTAGTAAAGCAGTACTTATTAAAAAATTTACAGCTATAAATAAAAAAGAAGAAAGATCTTAAATGAAGGATTATAGTTTTCATCTTACAAAATTGGAAAAAAAAAGCAAGTGAAATCCAATGTAAGCGGAAGAAAGGAAACAGTTAAGATAAAATTGAAAAATTAATGAAATAGAACACAGAAAAACTACAGTAGGCCAAGAAAAAGGGATAAAAGTTACTCCGAATGGAAAGGCACAATTGTAGGTGATTTGTAGAGAATACTAGAGAAAACAGAAAAAATTTTCTATAATCAACAAATGAGTTTACAAGGGTGTAGGATATAGGATCGATATACAATAATAATGAACTTCAATCTATAATTCATATCATATACAAATATTAACCTGGGGATAAGTTAATTATTTCTAAATTAATTTATAATGGGTCATAGATCTAATATAAAGCCTTAAACTGTAATAGTTCTAGAAGAAAGCAGAGGAGAAATCTTTTGAGCTTGAGATAAGTAAAGATTTTTTTAAGATACAACCCCAAATGCAGGATACATAAAAGAAAAAAATATATATATAAATTGCACTTCATCAAAATTAAGAACAGGTCTTTGAAAGATGCTCTTAAAGAAATGAAAAGACAGGCCACTGACTAGGAAAAACATTTTTGCAAATCACATGTCTCATAAAGGACTTGAAGAAAAAATATATTTTATATCTATTATATATAAATATGTATATTTATTATATATATATCATTCAAAACTCAATGATAATAAAACAAGCAGTTAAAAAATATTTGAATGGATACTTCACAAAAAAAGATATATGGACGGTAAATAAGCACATGAAAAGATGCTTATCATCATTAGTCATTAAGAAAATGAAAATTAGAGACCAGGACACCTGTATTATAATGTACAAAATCAAAAAGTTTGATCACACTAAGTGTTGGCAAGTGATGCAGCTGTTGGAACTCATATGATGTTGGTGGGGGAACAAAAAACGGCACAACATCCTTGGAGAACAGTCTGGCTATTTCTTAAAAAGACAAACATTGGGCGCCTGGGTGGCTCAGTTGGTTAAGCGACTGCCTTCGGCTCAGGTCATGATCCTGGAGTCCCGAGATCGAGTCCCGCATCGGGCTCCCTGCTCAGCAGGGGGTCTGCTTCTCCCTCTGACCCTCTTCCCTCTCGCGCTGTCTCTCATTCTCTCTCTCAAATAAATAAATAAAATCTTTAAAAAAAAAAGACATTGTGTTAAGTGACAAAGGGTACATATTATATGACATTATGTAAAAGATCTAGAATAAACCAATCTGTAGAGATAGCAGATTAGCAGTTTTCTAAGGTGGAGAGGGGTGTGAGTGACTGCTAATGGCTATAAGGTTTTATGTTTGGTTGCACAACCCTGTCGGTGTGCTGGAAAACATTGAATCATACATTTTAAGCTGATGAACTTTATGGTATGTAAATCCTATCTCAATAAAGTTATTTTTAAAAGGTTATATACACGTTTCATATGACTGAACCATTCCACTCTTAGGTTTTTAGTCAGGAATAATGAAAGCATATGTTCATACAGAGACTTGTATACAAATGTTCATAGCAACTTTATTTCTAACAGCCAAAACTGGAAATAAGTCAAATGTCCAACAACCAGTGAATTGGTTAAAGAAATTGTGGTATATTCAGATAAGGGAATACTATTCAGTGATAAAATAACAATGACATCTGACATATAAAATACAACCAATGCATTTTAAAGTAATTGTAGTGAATGAACCAAGTCTGTGAAAAAGAGTGCCTATCTTATAATTCAATTTACATAAAATTCCAGAAAATTCAAACCTAACTACAGTGACAAAAGACATAGCCTAGTGACTGAGGTGGGGCAGAGAGATTTGGGAAGATCACAAAGGAGCAGGAGTAAACTGAAGATAATGGATATGTTCATTATTTTAATTGTGGTGATGGTGTCAGGTGCATATGTATATCAAATTTATCAATTTGTATTCTTTAAACATGTGTATTTTATTTTATGTCAATTATACCTCAATAGATCTGTTAAAAAATTTTAAGCATAAGGGAAAATACAATTAATCAACTAATATAGAAAAAAGTTGTGTTTCTGTTGATGAGCCCCAAAAGGCTCCATAGAGAACTTTTCTAAAAGATGGGTGTTTTTCTAGTATCTCCCCGATAGGTGTTCCCACCCAGATAAACCTGATGTCAGACCACAAGAAACTGGATCGAACCAGACAGGCCCAAGATAACAAAGTGGGCCAAAGTTCATAATATTCCTTCATTGTATTACATTAACATACTAAAATCTCCTCCCCAAGGGTGTTGTGCCACAAAATAAGGAAGAAAAATGGCCTACCTTCCTGGAAGTCATTTCCTCCTCCTGCAATCTGGCTGACATTAAGCACCGCTGGTTTGCCCCCCAGCCATGTCATGTATGCCCCTCCACCTCTCAGGAGAAGGGGTCTTTAGAGCATAAATTCCCCTTCTACATTCTCTGGCCATTGAATCAATTACCTTCGTGCCATCAAATAATGTTTGTTATTTGACTATTTGGTGAATGGTATTGAGTAGGAAAGGAATCTACCAGTTCCTTAACATTTCATGCAGTTTTGTGGCTATTTTTCTTTCATTTTTGCTATGATGTACACAAGTTTCACATTTGATTATCAATAAATCTATCCATTTCTTTTTATGATTCCTGCCTTTTCTAGACAATTATAGAAAATCATTCTTTATATAACCTATTTCTCCCTCTTGAATCTTTTGGTCTGGCCTCCTCCATATGACGAAATTTTTCTGTGGTTGTCAAAAGACCACTTTGCTCTCTTTGTCTCGGAGACCCTGAAGTTCTTAATGCTCATTTTGATTATTTTACCTATCAAAATGTTTCCTTAATAATAAGTAATTAGGAGGCTATTGCTCTTGGTTGAATCAAATGCACAGTAAGTGATTGAAAAGATGATTATTCACACATTAGTAATCACTGGTAAAATTTCTTATAGGATAAAGAGAAATGAAAGTCTTTTAGGTGGTATAGAATAGATGTCTTTGGGAAAATGTGTGTGTGTTTGCTTGTTTTGAGAAATGATATAGCCATATGTTTAAGCCATATGTTAAGAATATGTTTATTCTCTTATCTGTTAAAATTTTTTAACAGATCTATTGAGGTATAATTGACATAAAATAAAATACACATGTTTAAAGAATACAAATTGATAAATTTGATATGCATATGCACCTGACACCATCACCACAATTAAAATAATGAACATATCCATTATCTTCAGTTTACTCCTGCTCCTTTGTGATCTTCCCAAATCTCTCTGCATCAGACTGTAGAGATCCACATTCTAGTTCCAACCCCACATTAAGTAACTTGTTCTCACTGCCACTTAGTTTCCTCATCTATAAACTGGAAAGAAGAGTCCTCATAGAGTGGTTTGAATGGATAAATGAAATAATATGTGTCACTGAATGCCATAAATACTCAAAACAATTTAAAAATAACATCTACTATTTAAATAAGTGATATAAATCATAAAATATCTGTTTCTATTATTTCAAAATAAGTGAATACCTACCTCATTTTTTCATTTTCTGCCTCCAATCTTAAGTGTGTTTGTGTAAATGAACTGCACTTTGCACCAAGTGGGCTTCATTAACCCCATTCGTGTATTTGTTTATTCAACACAGACATATTTTTACAGCTACATTCCTCAAGCGTTCTCCTAGGTGATATAAATCCAAAGATAGAAAAGAAATGATCTCTGCTACTTACACAGGTAACTCCAATATTCATATGGTAAGTACAAGAATACAAAAAATTCTTAGTTACTGAATGATCTTAAGGTCAATCTTAGTTTTTTACTTCGCTTTTTAAATTGCTCTAAGTTCTATTGCTGTAATATTGTTATCATTTCCTTTCTTTTAAGTCATTATCATTTTCCTTCCTCTTCTTCTTCTTCCTCTTCCTCTTCTTCCTCTTCCTCTTCTCCTTCTCCTCCTTCTTCTTTCTTCTTTCTTCTTCTCCTTCTCCTTCCCTTTCTTCTTCTCCTTCCCTTTCTTCTTCTTCTTCTTCTTCCTCTTCTTCCTCTTCTCCTTCTTCTCCTTCTTCTCCTTCTTCTCCTTCTTCTTCTTCTTCTTCTTCTTCTTCTTCTTCTTCTTCTTCTTCTTCTTCTTCTTCTTCTTCTTCTTCTTCTTCTTCTTCTTCTTCTTCCTTCTTCCTTCTTCACCATATTTGCCTTCTATTTTCCCCCACTCCCCTCCAGCCTTTTGGAGAATGGTCTCTTCAAGTAAAGATACTGCTGAAAGAACTTCTCCTTTAGTTCCAAATCTTCTCCTTTTAATAGCAATTCTTCTGATAATATACCTGGCTCCCAATTAGTCTGTTTGCTGCTTCATATCCACTTAGATACATGCTGGTCTAATTTATTATTTTTTTCCTGTGAAATTTCAAATAAATCACAAAAGCATAGAACATATATGATGAAGTTTTAGGTAAACCACAGTCTTCAAAATATGCCCAAGAAATGCCAGAACCACTTCAGAGAGGAAATAAGTGGCCAGCAAAGGAAGAGACCGTGGTTGTCCTTCCACAGATGCTTTTCTTTGATATAGAAAAACAATTTATAGTTCTGCACACAACTCTTGGCAGATTGAACCAAATATGTCTAGAATTCAAACACAGGATCATCCTTGTTCTATTCACCAACAATATACATTTAAATCTTTATCTCTACCTATTTTCTCCACTGTTACAGTAGAAATAATATCTTTGCTCCTATAAAAAGCAAACCCAGCCACTTGTACTCTGGAACCCATTTCCTCTTGACTTCTCAAAACACTATTGAGTTATTCCTTTTCCACCCTTTCTTGCAATATCAATTTTTTCCTTTTCACTGATTCATTTCTATTACCAAAAAATGCTCTAGGACTCACTATATTTTTAAAACAATTCCCATGACCAGACATATTCCTCTAGCTACTCTCCCATTATTCCTCTCAGAGTATACTTGTCAATAGATTTGGCTAAGTATACACTCTCAAATGCCTCACCTTCTGCTCTCTTTTCAATATATTCTGTTCTCTTCTCTTCACAAAATAAGGTCTGATCAATGTCACTAAGGATTCCACATTGCCAAATTCAATGGCAATTTTGCTATCCTTGTGTTTCTTGAACTTTGAGCAGCATTTAACACAGTTGATTGACCACCTCTGACTTAAAAAAAATTTCTTTTATGGATTTCTGAACTTGTCTTTGTATTTCTTCTTCCATCCTTAGCGTCCCCATCTCAATCTTACCTACTGGCTTCCATCCCTCTGTTTTAGCTGCAACTGTCAAAGTTCCTCAAGGGACAGGACTCAGCCCCATGCAAGCACTTTATAGAGCTAATTCTGCTTCATGTATAGTTCTTTTTCCTGAGTTCCTGGTACAAATATCTGCCTGCCTATTTGACATTTCCCTTTGGATATCTAATAGGCATCTCAAACTTATGTCCAGAATCAGATCATTCTTTCTCCAATTATGTCTCCTCAATCCTTTATTCCCAAGTCTTCTTTATTTCAGTGAAGTACAAGGGATTTAAATTTTAGGACAGTGAATTTATTTGTATGATATTATAATGGTGGATTCATGACATTATGTTTTAGTCAAAACCCACTGAACTTTATGGCGGAAAGAGTGAACCTTAATGTATGCAAATTAAAAAAATAATTTTGGAGGCTATGAACTCATGGGGCCAACTGAAAGAGTTCCTGTGGCCAAAGCTGGAACAATGTGAGCAACAAAATAAAGTAGTATTGGATTGTAACGGAAAATATCAAATAAATACGAATGAGTTTTATTGACATAAATGGTTGATAAAGAAGTAAATGGGAGATTAGACAAAAATCACCTGCAGAAGATTTCTAAATAATTCATGTAGATACTCTGTTGTGAAAGAGAAATGGTATAACTCTCCACTTCTTAAGTGTGGGCTGCACATAGTAACTTCCTTTCAAAGGGTACAGTATGGAAATGGAGAAAAGAGAGTAACTTTTATACTCTTTATAAATTGTGGTAAGAATGGCAATTCATCTCTGTGATCTTCCTCCAAAAACCTTTAACCCAAGTGTAATGATGAGAAAAACATCAGACTACCCCAATTTGAGAATATTCTACAAAATATCTGACCCACTTTTCTCAAAACTGTAAAAAAACAAAAAACAAAACCAAACATCAAAAACAAGGAAAGAATGAGAAACTGTCAGCCAAGATTATCCTAAGAAGACGTGAAGAATAAAGGTACTGTGGTATCCTGAATGTGGTCCTTGCATAGCAAAATGTATTAAGTAAAAACTAAGAAAAGGTTTTAGATGAAAAATGAATTAAGTATAGACTTTAATTAATAATAACGCATGAATATTGATTCATTAATTTTGACTTACCATACTAGTGTAACATGGTAATGATAGGGGAAATTGGGTATGATGTATATGGGAACTTTCTGTACTACTTTCACAATTTTTCTGCCAATCTAAAACTATCTTAAAAGGAATGGTTTACTTAAAAAAAATGAAGTTCAACTCACTCTTAAATCACATCCTTTGTGGTTTTCAGCTATTGGGTTTATTTCAATGCCACAGTTTGTAGAGACTGACTCTGCTTTTGATCAGGTAATGTCTCTCTTTCCATCTCATTCAAATATGGATTATTCTATTTACAGGATGTTTGGACAGAGGCAAAACACAGAGAGATCAATGATGCAGAAGCCAAAAAAGCATCCCTATCATTGCCAACACAAGTGGGCATGCAAAGGTAAGAACCTATGTCCCTCCATTAGACCACAGATTGTAATACAGTTAGAATTTTCTGTGTGTCTTTTAATCCTAGACTTTTAATGAGAACTTTTAAGAATTTGAACTAGAATCTGTTAATCAGAAAATGTTTTATCTTACTTTTATTTATTTATTTTATTTTTTATTTTTTTAAAGATTTTATTTATTTATTTGAGACAGAGAGAATGAGAGAGAGAGAGCACATGAGAGGGGGGAGGGTCAGAGGCAGAAGCAGGCTCCCTGCCGAGCAGGGAGCCCGATGCGGGACTCGATCCAGGGACTCCAGGATCATGACCTGAGCCGAAGGCAGTCGCTTAACCAACTGAGCCACCCAGGCGCCCTTTTATCTTACTTTTAAATAATATGTTTATGTAGATCTTATTAAATTGAATGTAATGGATCAGATTTTATTTGACCTGGGTTGAAGATTATGAAAGTGTTATAATGCTATTTTATTAAAGCAAAGTATGTAATTATAAAGGTTAGCATCTGAGATTTGTTTCATGAATTGATATAAATATAAAATTCTTATTTCAAACAACATTTGAGAAGATGGCTACAAAACTCAGTCTTGCTTATATTTCTCTTTTTGACATTCATTTTTATTATTATTCAATCATTCTGGTATTACTTATATTTTGCCTTTCCAGGCTTTAGTCCCACTGAATAATATCTGTGTGATTCAGAAAAGATGTAAATGAAGGTAAGATGACAAATTTTAGTGGCAGTGTTTTGACTAACCAGCTGATCAACTAATATCCACCAATTTGATTGTTTGTGAATTGTAGTTGTTGAATGGAAGTGTTACATAAGAAGGATATTTAATAAATAGTACATGAAACATATTGAACTCAAAATTTAGCATCAATAAACCCAAGTCTTTAAAGATAACTAAGTATGCGTTCATATCGAGATAATTTAAACAGAGATTGTATATTACGTTCCCTCTCCTTAAGACAATGTGCACCCTCAGAATTTTACATTTCTATGACACATTTTCAAGTTTGTCTTAAATGCCTAAATGTTTCAGAAAGAAAAATTATTTATTACAGATTACCCTAAATGTCCCAAGTGGCATCGCACTGTTCTGAGACTGAGCAGCATTGTGCTGGTTATACTCATTGCCACAGTGACAGGACTAACTATTTGGGGTGAGTAAACTGAAAGCTGTATGTTCAACTATAGAGATTAATGTATTTCCTTTGGAGTTTCCCTTTATTTCTCTAACTTTTCCAGAATCATTTTTCACATTTACCTTACATATCCTCTCACTATTACTTAAACTACATTGGTATTAAATGACACAGTTGATAATTCCATTAATAATGAGTATTTTTGTCCCTATACAGAGAAGGCAACAAACTTGTAAATTTAGAAAGCCTATTCTGCTTATAATTTTAATTAATTGGTAAATTGTGTGGGTTTGGCAGTCATAATTCTATGAAGTGAAGTTTTATATTTTGGTAAAAGCACTTAGATTATTTGACCCTTTAAATAAAGCTTTTGGACTTTAGAAGTAGTTTGATATTTTGAAGTTTTGACAAAATTTATTGGCTGTTTGAAAATTTAAGACCAAGTTAAATTTAACTTGAATTATTCCTAAAATGAGCTCTACTTCAAGAAGAGCTCTGGGTAATTATATCTGTTATTGTTTCTATTTGTTGTGACCTTCTTTTTTTCTTTTTTCTTTTTTCAAGGTGGGGGAGGTTCAGAGGGAGAGGGAGAGAGAGAATTTTAATCAGGCTCCACACCCAGCGCAAAGCTCTCTATGGGGCTTGATCTCACAACTCTGAGATCATGACCTGAGAGGAAATCAGGAGTCAGACACTTAACTGACTGAGCCACCCAGGTGTCCCTGTTGTGACCCTCTATGTGTTAGAAATTGTGATGAGCATTTTACCTACATCATTTTTTAGTCTTGAGACAGCTCTGTTTGTTAAGCATTTTCCCCTTTTTTATATATGAGTAAACTGAGAAACAGAAAAGCTATGTAAAATTTCAAGATCACACAGCATTCTAACCTATCATGCCAAACAGACACAAATTTCAATATATTTTAAATTTTATTTAGATAATTTTTATTGTTTGTTTCTACTTACATTTTCATAAGTGGAAATCTCCTGAGTCTCTAAGTTTATTCATCCTTTGTCAAAATATAGGGTTGAAATACTATAGACAGGTTTCTTAGCCACCAGTGTGCATTCATTTGTAGTTTTGTTTTAACGGGTGATTAAAAGGCACAAGCTTATATTTGTAGAAATCTAATTAGTGTTACTCCTTTCCTTCATTTGTCAGTAAGTCACCTAAGTAGCGAGCACAGAATCAAAGATTGCGATTGTATGAATATTTCTCCCAGGAAACAGCAGGACAATACAAATTTCACAAGTGGTTATATTTCATTGTATTATAGAGGAGGAAAAAATTTCCTCTACCCTCTTAAGTTTGGTACCAGGGGGCCTGTGAATTAAACTGTCAAAAGACCAATTAACAGGAAGAAAAGGTTTATTTGCATTCATGGGAGAGGTAACAAAAGAAGTAGCTAGCTCTGCTCAGTTACAGTGAAAAGGTTTATATACCTAGCTTAGTAGGAGAAAGGTGGGGCAAGAAGTGGCTTCTCAGGGAAAAACAAATACATTTCTTTAGGAAACACAAATGGCCTTTGCAGGAGAACAAACTGGAGATAACAAAGTGAGTAATAGTGTCTGTATACACAAGTGTGTGTAGTCCTTACCTCTTCATAGTCACAAAATTCCTCCAGAAAGGGGATTTATGGTAGAGTTCTTAGTTGTTTTTTTCTGGGAGTAAACCACTCCAAAGAGGAATTTATGACAACCTCCTATCTCAGAAGTTTCTATTTTTAGCCGGATAAGGGAAGCTCAGAGGAGGCTTCTTCCTGCATCTGTTGATTATATTAGGCATATACAAAAGATAGAAAGTCACTAACTCCTAATACCTTCACCAGTTATGGGAGGTTTTCAGGCAAAGCACAGTAAACAGGATATGGTTGTTGTGAAGATTTAAATCCATGCCTTCTCCTTTGATAAGTTTCTAGAGATTTGGTCATCCTCTTCTTCCTGGTACAGAGTGGAAGGACACCCTTACAAATGGAGATTTCCCTTATAACTGTAAATGTCTCTTACAAAAGGATAATTTCTACTAGGTTTTCAGACCTTCTGTGTCTGCAGTTTCTTAAAAACAACCACCTCAGGATAAACCTTATGCCAAGGAAGCATGTTTCGGGGTGGTATATTTTGCTCCCCTTTAGCACTCTTGTGCTTCAGACTCTCTAGTGACTTTCTATAGTCTAAGGACTAAAATCTAAGGACTATAAGCCTAAGCACTTTAACATTGTTTCCCTCTGAGTCTTGATTTCCTACAATAGCAGTCTCATTTCTCATAATGTAACTTTCCTCTTTTCACTCTAGCCTCCAGCAAAACAAACCTCAGTATGGTAATAAAATGCAACATATTCTCTCAAACTCAAGTCTTTGTTCATTGATGATCCAATCCATTTCTTTTGGATATTTATCTCTCTGTTGCAACATCCTACCCTCTGAACCCTTCTAACACACACACACACACACACACACAGTTCAGACTATAACACTGATATAATCTGATAAAAATACACATAGTTGGTTTTAGTTACATTTCTTATATAATAGGAAATTAAAAATAAAATCACATACATTGGATATTTATATGTTTTTACTCTGTAAACTTCCTGGTTCTCACTTTGTCTTTTTTTTTTTTTAATTAGAGTGTTTATTTTTTTCTTACTCATCAATGCTTGTTGTAGAATAAGATAATTAACCTTTTCTCCCAAGTTACAACTATTTTCTAAGTAAAAAATCTACCCAAACTATAAACTTTTGCATCGTTTAAATATCATGATTTATACCAAAATGTATGTCTAGACCGTAAGTTAAGTTTGGGTAATTAATAAATGCATTCTAATTAAATATTGATGGTCATAGAGAGTGATGGAAAATAGTATGAAAAATATAACTAATGTGCATGTTTATGTTGGCACTTTTCCCTTAAGACTTTAGTCTATATATCACATCTCTGTAATAGGTCAACTCAGTGCTTCTCCATTATGGACATTTCTATATTGCTCTCCATACATTACTCTTCTAGGCTTCTCTAGACCACTTGGAAGCCTTTCTACCATGGGGGTCTCAGCACTAAAGCACTCAAAAATTATTTGCTATTTTCATCACTTTGTCTTTGGCGTATCACTTGATCTTAAGCCAAAAGGCTGAGAAGCGATATCTTTGGCATATCAACAATAGTCTCTCACATTCTAAATAACTGTACTTTCCAATGGATGAATTTCTTTCCACTTTGCCGCACTGACAAGACCCTGGGCTTCTTTATTGCTGTAGTATGTGACTTTTAGGCAAACAAATGGAAGAGTGAAGTGAATAATTCATGTTTTATTTTAGAGGCCAAATGCTACCATGGCAAAGGTCATATCACAGTAAACCTATAAATAAGCACAAGAGCTTAAGGTCATTTATTTCTGTCAATAATTTACGATATTAAATTTCAGCAAAACCAAAATTTGTCCCCAGCTTTGGTCTGAAGTGTGTTTTGAGGTATTTTCCCTGGCCAGTGCAGTTAAAACCTAGTTCATTAATATACTATTTCAATGCCCATGTTGTTATGACTTATAAAATAAAATGTTCTGGGAAGAGTGTTGTGAAAATCAGGGTACTTTGCTGATTCAAAACAGAAACTTAGTATGTGATATTTTCTCCAAATAATGATTCCTCATACTATCTCTCAAAGAGCTTCACCAGCGATAGCTAACTTTTGTATTTTATAGTTTACATTTTCATGTTCAGCTCGTTTAATATATCAGGCAAGTTTGTACACAATTTGTGGATATTTAAAAAATATACAATACTTAAGATATACAACAGTTTCAATAGAATGCAATCAATACTTATGTACCTACCATGCGGCTTAAAATATAAGAAATTATTAATTTACTTGAAACCTGTGTGTACCTATTTTTGAAGATAGGTTTGTTTTAATACCTATTTCAAATTTTTCCCTTTCAGAGATATGTCTGGTGGTCATTGAGGTTATTGGGGTCATGGTGAAAAATTTGTTTTACAAAGTTACTGATAAAATATATCATGAAATATATATATTTTTTTGTACCAGCAAGGGACTCTGGAAAGGATATATATGTATTTTTTTTTCCACAGCAGCTTTCACCTTATGCCTTTTAGACTCTGTTTTACTTTGTTTCCCTGTGTCCTACCACTTATTTTATTGGCTGTATTAGTTATAACCTTGAGTAAGTTCCTTAACATTTACATTCGTCTCCCCACTTTATACTTGTTTACTTCTCCTTAACTGTACTACCTTTATTTACAAAATGAGGAACATGAAATTAATAATTTTATGTATCTTATACATTTCTTGTAAGGAAAAACATTTCATATATTCGTGTGCATAAAAAGATAGGAAATTATTTGACATGTGATAATTACTCAATAATTATGAATATTTCTGGCATTTATCTCTTCTAAAGACTATTCATCAGTGGAAAGGGAGTTCTTTTCTTAAAAGTGGGACAAAATCTTTACTTTTAAGGGAAAAGTTTACAAAATTAGTGAAAACATTTTTCTGATATTCAAAACTTGCTCTTCTATTCTTCCTATTTTCCCATTTCAGCAAAACCGAGGCTAAACTTGTGCCCTAATAACTGGCTGCAGAAAAAAGGGAAATGCTATAATTTTTTAAAAACCTTTAAATCATGGACCGATAGTAAAAAATCCTGTTTAATAATGAAATCTCATCTCTTGATGATCCAAGACAAGGCTGAACTGTAAGAGCTAATTTGCCATGAAAATTAGCCCTCCTAAAGCTGCGAGAAATAAGTAGGTTTTTTTTTTAAAGATTTATTTTTTATTTGTTTGAGAGACAACTAGAGTGAGAGAGTGAGCAAGAGAGAGAGAGCTAGAGTGCATGAGCAGGGGGAAGGGCAGAAGGAGAGGAAGAAGCAGACTCCCCACTGAGCAGGGAGCCCAACACAGGGCTCAGTCCCAGGACCCTGGGATCATGACCTGAGCTGAAGGCAGAAGCTTAAGCGACTGAGCCACCCAGGTGCCCCAAAGTAGGTTTTATAATAAAAGAATTGTGGTGCTCATAATTACGGCCATTTATTGAATTCCTAGCAGATGCCAGGCACTGTGGTAGGCATGCTGCAAATGTTATCAAACTTAGTGCTCACAGCAACTTTATGAGATAGGCAATATTTTCCCTACTTCCAGAAGAATCTGCAGAACTTGACAGGTTGTAAAACTTGCCTATTTCACTCAGCATGTGAGTGACAAAGCTGACATATCAATGTGTCCTTCCACAAGACCTCTTGGAAAGAAAGATACGAGCTCTTGGAATATTATCACTATCTGGCAATATCCCTAGTATCTCGGGTAGGGAAGCTGGGCTCTTTAGTTTGGCTCGTGGGTAGTTTTACCATAGGCACAAGTTTTTCCCAATCTGCACAATGGCAACAGCGCTCTGAGAATAGTTCTTGCTCCTTTAAGCAGCCTTATTCATCCCTAGCTTTGTCCTCACATCCTCTTTGAGCCCCCTCAGCAGTCGCTGTTCACATCATCCCCAGGAATCCCCTTAAGCATCCCATGCCTGCACATAATATATATGTCATGTGTTTTGAAAACCTCCTTACATCAGTTTCCTTCCCTAAATATATAGGAAACTGCTTCAGACTTCTTAAGATTTTCCTGAATAGGGAGATCAATATCAAGACTTTCTTAAGTCTGGACAAAAGTCAGAAAATGTTATTTTAATAGGTTTAACTCTGTTTCCTCTGGATCCTTTTGCATAGGGTTTCATGCAGAGTAATATACAAGATGGAATTTACTTTTGGATTGGATTGAACATCACACTCCCACAAAAGACATGGACCTGGCTGGATGGCACCCCTTTACATCTACAGCTGTGAGTATTTAGCATTTGAGTTTTTCAGCAGCCAGTCCCTACGGGGGGTTCCCTGAAACTCCAGATAGCCAAATGGTTCCCTAGACTGAAGACTTTGATCTTTGTTAGTAAGTGAGTGATTAGGAAATTTTCCTTAGAGAAATGAAGTCTTCTAAGCTAATTTATTTTCTTATTTGGGCTTTGAGTTTATCTATAATGCTAGAGGTAGACATGGAAAACTGTAGTTTACATAAAATTCTCTAAATTTCATTTCTTTTGAAGTATTTCTTAAAAGTTTACCAAATAATCCTTGTTTTGATTAGTAGGAAGACTTCAATTATTGGGAAATATTAAGGAGTATGTTATGCATAATACAACAAATAGCATTTGACTCTTTTTAAATAGTCTCACCCCAATCAACAATATGTGTGTCTACTTTGATGCACCTCGTTCATTTCTGCTTAAATTCCATGGGTAGAGAGTGCTAAAATCTTTAGACGTTAGACACTAATCCCCAAAACACAGACAGAAGCTCCTGGGAGTCCAGGGTGAAACTTTTTACTCTCAGCATCAAGGTTTCAGGTATCACCAAAGTTAATTACACTTCTTGAAAATGTGGAATTTTGTTGTGTCTCTTAAAGAGATGTGAAGTTAAGGGGATTTAGGAAGACCATAGATGTTCTGGAGTGATAGAGCAGGCCCACCAGACTTGCTGAGGGTAGGGAAAAAAAATGCTCTGAAACAGAGCAATTCACCCTACAAATGAATATTCTTATCCAGAGACTATTTACAATATTTCTTGTTAAAATTTACACTCCATACCTACCCATGCCATCATACTCTCTGTACATCAAACACTAAATTCATTTTAAAAACTTACCTTTGAGTCTTTTTTTTTTTTTTTAAGATTTTATTTATTTATTTGGCAGAGAGAGAGAGAGGGAGTGCACAAGCAGGGGGAGTGTCAGGCAGAGGGAGAGGGAGAAGCAGGTTCCCTGCTGAGCAGGACACCTGATGGGGGGCTTGACCCCAGGACCTTGGGATCATGACCTAAGCTGAAGGCAGACCATTAACGGACTGAGCCACCCAGGCACCCTTACCTTTGATTATTTCTAATAGAAATGTATCATCATGTTTTTAAAGTGATGCTCTATCAACCCACTTGCAAACTTGGTTAGAATTACTAATTTGCCAATCTTGTTTTTAAAATTGAGGGTTTTCTTTCTGATTTTTTAGATGCCTTTTGGCTTATTTGTTTAAGACAAGAAAAGTTGGCTTAAAATATCATGGAAGAACAGAACTTAGGGGAATTTTCCTTCTTTCGTGTAAAGGGTAAAGGATTTGGGGACACCCATATACACAGATGCACAGAAATTCCCTTGCTGAGGTGTCCATGTGAGTTTAAAACATTTAAAAGTGGGAAGGTCTTCTCCTCGATCGCTCACTCTTTCACTCCTCCCATTCTGTCTGGGGTTACTGTTGCCACATTTAACATGTAAAGTCTAGATATACCATTCTTTCTTAGGATCTCTTGTAGAAGTAAGGAGGCTTATTATAGGCAAACAGTGAGGCAAGATTTTTGAAAGGTGTGACAATTGGGATTTGGGTCAGGAGAATGACAAGGGTAATAGTTTAATTTTCTACAGAAAATTGGTTTAATACTTTTTGAAAAACATGCATATCTTTAGATATGTTGATATTTCTAAATTTTAGAATGATAAATATGATACTGTCTGTTATAAAGTTGGTATCATTCCATTGTTGCAGATACTTAAAAAGTTGAATCAGGAATCTTTGGAGTAATAAAATGAATTTTTCTCCTAAAAGGGCAGGACTATCCCCTGTCTTAGTCCTTTTGGGCTACTGTGACAAAATACCACAGCCTGGGTAGCTTACAAGCAACAGAAATTTATTTCTCACTGCTCTGGAAAATGGGACTCCAAGATCAAGGTGTCAGCATGGTCATATTTTGGTGAAGGCCCTCTTCCTGGTTTGTAGCCATGTGAGGACATGGTGGAAGGGGCTAGGGATCTCTCTGGAGTCTTTTTTATAAGGAATGAATGAGGGTTCCACCTCATGAGTTAAGCACCTCCCAAAGGCCCCACTTCCTAATACATCACTTTTATGGGTTAAAATTTTAACATATGAATTTTGGGGGGAACACAAGCATTCAGACCATAACAGATAACAGTCCTCTAAGATCTTTATTTTTAATTTTTTTGGTGTGATCACATGGAATTGGGAAACCAGTGCTTCTTATTCACATATTTATTTTAATTCCACATAGCCTTTCCATTTACAAATGACCATTTTTGGTTAAAAAACTATTTGGAGCAACTACCTTCATTAAAGAAGTCATTTTTTAACAGGCATTCCTTGTCTGAAAATTACAGTGTCTTAGATTTCCAGCTTGGAGAATACATCCCTCCTAAGGAGGGAGAAAACATACAAAATATGTACAGTTGTGTTTTTAGCCAAATGAGAACAGGATGTTGCTTTTTCCTCTACAGATTTCAAGTCCTGGGCCAGGATGAAGATAATGCCTGTGCTGTGATAACAAAGAAGGGTGTGTTTTCTGAAAAGTGTTGCAATCAGAGTTACTGGTATGTCAACACGTGATTTCTGCAGACAATGACCTCTAAACTTATCCCAGTTTATCCTTCCTCTTTCACAAGGACTTTTTAATTTATGTATTTTTGTCAAAACACATTATTTTTACAACAAATATTATGGTGATGATGATAATGGTGTTGATTTGTGTCACTCTCAATCCAGACAATCAGCCTCAACTCATCCCCCTGGCTCTATCTGGTCATCGGTGCTGTATTTCTATAGTTATCTCCTATTCATTAGGGTAGCCATTTTAGACAGAAATTGTCCCTTTGTCTGCTCACTAATTCTCTCCCGGGGCGCCTGGGTGGCTCAGCCATTTGTTTAAGCTCAGACTCCTGGTTTCAGCTCAGGTCACGGTATCGAGCCCCGTGCCAGGGGGAGTCTGCTTGGGATTCTTTTCTTTCTCTCTTCTCCCTCTGCCCCTCTTCCCACTATAAACAAACAAACAAACAAACAAACAAATAAATAAATAAATAAAATGTTAAAATAAATTCCCTATACCTCTCATTCACCATTGGGAAAGAAGCCTTTTCTATTTTTTAGCATTTTTTTTTTTTTTTTTAAAGATTTGATTTATTTGCGAGAGAGAGAATGAGAGACAGAGAGCATGAGAGGGGGAGAGGGTCAGAGGGAGAAGCAGGCTCCCCGCGGAGCAGGGAGCCCGATGCGGGACTCGATCCCGGGACTCCAGGATCATGACCTGAGCCGAAGGCAGTCGCTTAACCAACTGAGCCACCCAGGTGCCCGCCTTTTCTTTTTTTTAAGAGAAGCCATCAGATGATATATTCATGGACTTTCTACTACGGAGTCTACACAATTGTTTGCATCTTACTTATTTCTTTTTCCTCTCCTCCTATTTCCAAAAAAGGAGTATCCCTCCATCTGTCTAAATCAAATCTCTAAGTCTACAGTTGGGATTGTGTCTCTTCATTTTTTCAAGGAGATTCCTTCCTCCATCATCTCCATTCTAACCTCTCTCTTCTTCCACCGCCTTTTCTTTTAGCAATGAAACAGCAAGAGCACAAGAAAAATTTCCCTGAACCACATGTGGCTTCCAGTTTCTGCCCAGTTTCTTCCACATCTTTTAAGTCAAACTTCCTAGAAATTGTTTCTACTTGCTTTTTCCTCTTTTCACCTCCCACTCCAGGTTCTTCTAAAATCTGGTTTCTGCTTTTCCTATTTCACTAAAGTGTTCTCACTACATCACAAACATCTTTCTTCTGGCAAAACACAATGAAGATGTTTTAGCTTTCATTTTAACTCTCAGCTGTGTTGCTCATTATTGACCTATCCTTTCTTCTAGAAATATTCTCTAACCTCAGCATCTATGACCCAATGCTCTCTTAAACCTGTATCTATGTCTCCTGCCATTGCTCCTCAGTTTTTTTCTGAAGCATCTCTTCTCTCTTCTGATTTCTTCAATACTGACATTCCTCAGTGTTTTGGGTGAATTCTTAATCATACACAATTCTTGGCAAACTCAACCACATTGTAAGTTCGATTGTCATCAATTTATTGATAACTCCCAAACTCATATATATTTCTAACCCAGACCTTATTACAGGTGCTTGCCCACTGGACATCTCTATTTGGACATCTCAAAGCCCCTCAGCCTTCACATGTTAAAAATTAGACTCGTTAGCTTAGCAAATGGCAGCAACGTGCCCATTAGTCCAAGCCAGAGTCCCTGGAGTCAACCATGGCTTCTTTCTTTTCACCCTCGATATTCACTCATTTCAATCCCGTCAATTTTACCACATAATTATTTCTGAATCCATCTACATATCTTCAGACCCACCCTATGGTCCTGGATTCCTGCAACAGTTGTTTTGTCTGCTTCTAGCTTTGTCTGCCAAAGTCCATTCTCCATACCATGATCACAATGATTGTCTAAACGTCATATCAGGCCGCATTACTCACTACTTAATTCTTTTTCATTGCTTAAATCTTTGACCATCTCCTCCCAGACCCTTTGTGTCTTGGCTCGCCTTCATTCCTCCCACACCTGCCATGCTTGTAATGATGCCGACAACCTAAATTTATTCAGTTTCTCAAACGTGCCATGCTTTCTCTTGCCTCAGATCTAATCATATATTTGCCTCAGCTTGATAGTCTTCCCTTTCATACTCTCCTGTTTAACTCTTGCTTATTTTTCAGATGACCAGTTAAATGCCACTTGGTGGAAATATTTCCTTAACCATTCTCCACTCCAGACTAAATTATATGCATTTGATGTATATTTTCATAGTGTCCTATACTTATCTTAACATTTAATACTCTATTTTTTGACCATCGTTTAATTATTTGTATTTATTAATATACTGTAAGCTCTGGAAGGACATGATCTTCATTATTGTATGGGAGAGACAAGGTGCCTGATGCATGATGGATGATAAATAAGTACTTGTTATGTTGTTAAGATTATTTGTAACATGTTTTATTGTTTCCCCAGCACAAATTTTCCTAGTTGCACAGAACTTCCCTTAGCCTAGATGATCATAATCTGCCTGCAGAGAAATAAACCACTCTGTTTAGTTTTTTTTCAGTAAACCACTCTGTTTAGTTTTGTTTTTTTCCAAGTGTTAGGTGTATGTGGGCTAATAAATGAAATTTTCCAGGTTTATTGTTTGTTTTTATTTTTGACCTAGAACCTACATTGAAACTTGGAGCAGAGACATTATTACATTAATGTTTGTCAGTTAAATATGAAATCACCAATGGGAAACCTACTTTAAAGTCTTAGATCCACTAAGAGAAAAACTTAAAGGTCATACATGAATTTAAAAAAAATCATTGCAAATTGATATGTGTGAACAGAAGTAATTATAGTTTACAAGGAATGAACTATAAGAGCTTCAACTCACTTAAAAAATTAAACACAGAGAACACAAATCCATGTTTATTTAGTATAATGAATGCAGACATATGTACTATTTTTTTAATGTGTACATTTGGGAAATGTGGGAAAAAATGTTAGGAGAGAAGTTGCAGTTAAGGAGAAGGGAGGGAAAAATGATGGAAGATTAAGAGGTCTGTGGATTTTAAAAAAAATTCTTGTTCAAGAATTATTCTTGAAATAATATTTCCCATTAAGTTAGAAAATTTGCATTTGCATCTAAGGAAATATTTTAGTGGTGCAATTTTGATACAAGAATTCTAAAAACTACTGTGAATTGAATTAGCCATGTCTAAAAATCCTTCTAGAAATCAAAGCTTGTCTTATTATCTCCACTATAGATCTACATATATGTATATTTTTAAGGGATTAGATTGCTTGAATCATAACAACTAAAGTTATTTTTAGATTACCCAGTTGTCCAAATTAATATTTTTAATTATACAGTGATTCTAACTGTTGGGAGGGGAGCATTTTAAATGATGTAAATTAGAAGATTCTCAGTGGAAAATCCTTTAGGAATAAATTTATAATTTATGACACTCAGAAGTTTTTATCCTTAAACTTTAGACTTCTTTTGGAATGTTTATAGGTTTATGTGTATGTATGCAGTTGGGGAAAACTATTACTTCATTATTGCTTCACTAAAGACTTTGATGAGACCACGTGCAACTTCCCATTTATACTCCTATTAAGTTGAGGGCTAAGTCTGCCTCCCCTCTCAGGGAAAGGAAGAACGGCTGAGATTCTTCTGCTCCTGAAGTCTTGTTATGTCATTTCCTGCTCCTATTGTTCCTTGGCCCCTTTTCACCTTCTTTGAAAATTTTTATACCATGTAACAATTTTTCACCTTATCTGGGGTATTAACTTTAATAACCAAAAAAGAGCTAACATTAGGTAGATAGGAAATGTGGAAAAGAGAAAGGGACCAGTGGTACTGCCCACTTGCCCCCCTCAGCCCCTTTCTCTCTGACATTGTGTTAACACGGTAAGATGCACCTCAGTGCATGCCCCCTTCACACTGGTTTGCTGAGTAGCCAGTTCAGCAGGGTGGACTTGTTGGAACACCCTTAGCAAGGAACTCTTCATACTACTGTTCTTCTTCACTCTTGAGGGCTCCCTTTCTGCCAGTATCATTATTTTCCCACTGAACTTTTTTAATTCCCATAAATCAGTTTATTTCCCAAAAACAAAGATGAAAAAATGGGATTATTTTAATAGTTAAGATGCCCGTTGGATGATATGGCAACTCAAAGGTGGTAGGTCTGAGATATAATGGGTGTGGCCTTAGACCAAACCCAAAGCAGAATTCTCAAGGAGCAAAAAGGGTTGTTCAATAAATGCTTAACAGTAAATTGTTCACATGTATTAAATTACTACCATGGAAACATGCCCATAGATACTGTATAGCTACTGAGTTAGTATTCCCACTTTCAAGTAAGCATTTTTCTTTTTTTTTTTTTTTTAAAGATTTTATTTATTTATTTATTTGAGAGAGAGAGAATGAGAGACAGAGAGCACGAGAGGGAAGAGGGCAGAGGGAGAAGCAGACCCCCTGCTGAGCAGGGAGCCCGATGCCGGACTCGATCCCGGGACTCCAGGATCATGACCTGAGCCGAAGGCAGTCGCTTAACCAACTGAGCCACCCAGGCGCCCCCAAGTAAGCATTTTTCAAGTCAAATGAAGTATCATATATTCACTCTTATGCAATGATAAGATTATATTCTTAAACATCTTTTTCCCCTCTATTTATCTTCAATTGTTTTGAACTCCCTGGCTTTTCCACTAATCACTGTATAAATTAACATGTTACTTTCATACTTTGTTTATACTTAGTAGATATATTATATATATCATATGTACACTATAAATATATACATACTAAAATATATACCTAGTGGGTCTGTATATATATACATAAAACATATATACATACTTATACTTAAGTGCATATATATTATAATTAAAAGTATAATAAAAATTTTAATCAAATATAAAAATGTTTTATAAGTTGTCTTTCAAAATTTTAGGGATATGCATTTCCAAGCATAATTAATTATTAATTATTTTCTTGCAAGAGAGATGTAAAAATAT